AATTTTAACATGTAACATTTTTGTGTAAGTCACTCTTAAAGCTTTGCAAATTCAATAATCATTTGCGAAAGAAAATAATAAAAGAAGGAAGGGGAAAGAAAAAAGCATACCCAACATAGGGTACATGGGTAAAATACTAGTGCCAGCTGTCCAGTCTTGTGGCCTTCTTAAGACAGGATCCCCCTTATATGCAACATTGGATGAACATTCCTGAGATTCAGATACTACTCTGATAGTGCAAACAATACTTCATGAATTGAGAGCCAAATCCCAGAACTTACTCTTTGCCACTTACACTATGCATCAATGTAAAATCAAGTACATTGCATGAGGCCTACAGTTTATTACCCTAAATAGTTAATGTGGGTCCCAAGCAAGCCATATTACAGCCAAAGCACATCCTTCACTCATAACTAGTAGCAATAAAATAAGATGATCAGATAACTGGAACTTAAAACTGAGCTGAATTCTAATGCAAAGTATCTATATCAAAAGGGTACAACTTTCTCAACTGGATAAAAGAACAGGTAATTCAAGTATGGATACTTTGGAGATGGATTGACTTTTACAATGTTCCTAAAAGGGACTTGGATTTTGGACATGTTTATTAAAAATTGTACAAACAAAGAAAAAAACCTGATTCTGATCTTCAAAACCACTGTGGAATATACTATAAGGTATGTTAGACTATTTAAATAGTCCTGTTGGTAAACTCCTCTAAGAAATATACATTGAAACTGATTAGTTGCATCTTCTCAGGATCCTGAACAATGCCTGTTGTTTACTTTTAGTTCATACCTGTATATATGGTATTTATGTGTATAGGAGCCTGCATGGCTTAGTGGTTTGAGCACTGGGTAAGACTACAGAAAGAGATGGGTATTCAATTGCATTTTAAATTCTGATAGCTCATTTAGCTTCTAGCAAGTCATTCCACAGACTTGAGACGACCAATGTTCTCTAAGTGATGGTTGCCAGTGAGGTTCTGGTAGGCTGGAGCAGATGACCCGCAGAGGACCTAAGTGTGTGGAGCAGTTCATACAGGAGAAGGCAATCCTGTAGCTAACCTGGATCCAAACCATGTAGGGTTTTAAAGGTCAAAACCAACACTTTGTACTTTGCCCAAAAACGAATCAACACCTCCTGGTAGAATGACTTTAATATGGGTGTAATATGCTCACTCCTAGATGTTTCTGAAACCAATCTGATGCCTGTTTTGAACTAATCGCAGTTTCCAGACTTGGTTCAGAGGTAACCCAATGTACAGCGCATTGCAGAAGTCCAACCTTGAGGTTACCAACACATGCACTACCATCTTTAAGTCTTCAGTTTCTAGGGAGGGATGCAGATGGTGTGTCAGCCAGAGCAGGTAGTAGGCACTCATGAGCATTGCAGCTACCTAGGCTGATATTTCAGGAGATGTTTCCAGGAGCACTCCCAAACTGCAAACACAGTTTTTCATGGAGAGTGTAACCCTGTCCAGAACTGTTTGACCTCCATCCCTAAGTTGGACTTTTGATGGCAAACAACTTTGTCTTGTCTGGATTCAGTTTCAATTTATTTTACCTTATTCAGCCCATTTCCAGGCATTTATTTTGGATAGTATTTAGTGTTTTAGTTCGTTTTAGCATGGTTTTTTCTTCTTTTTTCTGTTTTCTCTTTTCCTGACTGTATATTACTTTGATTGTGAATTAGTTTCAAATCATAGCTTGGATACTCCTGAAGTCAGATCTCAACCTCGATGCTCAGGTTTGGCAATAGCCAAGAGTGTGTTTGCATGGCCAAAAGTAGTGCACCAGCTGTGTCCAATGCTTGAGATGTCTGATCTGGCTATGGTGTCAAAGGCCTTGATGACATCCTGTTTTGATTACTGTAACACACATTGCCCTTGGAAACTATTCAAAATTGTATCTAGCCTAAAATGCTGTGGACAGACTGCTGACATGCTGATTACAAGGAACATAAAACTCCCATATTGCAATGATTTCACTGCCTTTGTCGATTTCTAAATGTAATTCAAAGTGTTGGTTATGATATTTTAAGCTTATGTCCAGACTATCTGAAATACTGTTTCTCCTTCTATGAGCCTGTTCAAATGTCAAAATCTTTAAATGATTCATGCAATCTCACACTAAGGCCAAGGTACTATAACTTCACTTTGGTCATATAGACTTGATGGGAGGGTTCAGGCCCCCGCCCCACCCTCAGTCTTTCTTAAAATAAATGCCTAAACTTTTTGTGCTTAAAAACATTTCTGTGACTTATTTCCCATTATTAATTGCTACCCTGACCCTGCTTTTGGATTGACTGTCACACCCTTGGTCTTACCCACATGTTGCTGAGTCACAAATAATTCCACTAATGGTCCCACCACCACCTCTCTTAGGCAGGCTAGGAACCTGACTAAACAGAGTGAATTATTCACTTTTCCTCATACCCAGTCAGATAACACACTTCTACTTGATTTTATGAACCAGGAAAGGTTGGCTTGTGTTGCTGTGCCATTTAAAACCTGAGATAGATGATAGATAGATAGATAGATAGATAGATAGATAGATAGATAGATAGATAGATAGATAGAGATATAAAATGTTTGCTAGGATGAGCATTGTTTTCCTTTTGGGAACAGGCAGGAGCAAAGTATAAGCTGAGATGGCTAAGCTCTTAATGTGCAGTGAGTTTCTGTCATATGCTGACATTTACAAATTTCCAGTATCTACTTAAATAGGATTTCCTCTGTCTATATTGCATTGGAAGTGTCTGACAACCGTTGACATGACTGTATTTTTTCATATGCTAATATTTTGTATTTTGGAAGAAATTCATATAACAAGTGAAAAAGAAAATTGCTTCTGAAATGAAGGTTACATATTCTGCAGCATACTTCCAAAACTCTTTGTTAAGGCATATCACCTAAAGTACTTGGAGAGGATGTTTGGTTTGTTCATTACAATGCTTATATAAATAGTACATTGTATCTTTTAAACTATTACAGAATTTGTAACTGATCAGTAATTCCAGTGGGCTGATATTGATTCAGCCTATAGTTAGAAGGGGGTTCTGTAATGACCTTCACGTACATCCAAGAGAAAAGCGATGTCTTGACAGATGTTTCTTGATGTGATGTGATAAAAGATTACAGGAACAAGCTATAAAGGAAGCTGTTAAAATACATATTTAAGAAAATTAGATCAGTGCTTTTGTGATTGTTTTTCTTGTGATCTTTCAATGATTTTCTTCCCAGGCTTAGTCATATCCAATATTTTAACATTTTCAGTAAAATCAAACCCAGGCTTTTCTAGGGTCTTTTCAGATAAGCGGTTTTGCAAAATTTCCAGGCTGTCATTCATTTTGGTTAGTAATCAAAGGTAGCCTATCCAACTATGTTGCTTGCATGCACTTGAAGAAAGAAGTGGGAAATGTAGTACTTTAGATGATGATGAACCATAAATCTCATTAGCTTTAGCCAGTCATGAAGGATGATAGGAATTTTCCAACCCCAAATCTAATCCAGATTTTTGGAGGAACATCCAAAACAGATTTGGGGAAAGTGTTGCTAAAAGAGTGCTGCGGTTAAGAAGGAAAATCTCCACTGCAGAAGCTTATACAGTGTGCACTCATACAATGGCCTCAATGTGACATCCCCTCAATGTGGCATAAATATCCACATCTGGAGAAATACTACGGTAAGCCAATAACTACCACAATTTTCCATACTTTACCTATCAAGATAAAATAGATTATGATTGGACTGAGACTTCCTAAGGACCAAAGTGCTGATGTCATGAATTTATTATATGAGAGGTAGCTAAATGCTTCTGTGCCAGTTTGCTATGAGGCACAGAATGGCCGGGAAAGTCATATTTGGGGCTTTACAGTAAATTGGGTGAGGACATTGGACACCACAGAGGGATGAATACTTGCAAAATAGATAATTCTGTGCATAAGAAACACTTACATTCATGTATATCTCCAGCAGAATTTGGCCAATCTCCAATGTAGCCCAAAGCCTAAAGATTTATGATAATGAAACAAAATAGCCTGCTTTTCCCACTATGTCTATAACTCTGTAATGCAATCAAAGAGGTTTTGAAATATTCACAAACAGTTGGGTTGAATTTGACAAGATAAGATGCTGTTTTCTTGTTATGTCATAAAAACCGTGTGTCTTAAATCGTGGATTCTGATAGGGTTATGTGACAGAAATGAAGTGTGGATCTACTAAACAAGAAGCAAAAGATGGATGATGGTGAAGATTCATATATTTTACTTATATTACTGAATTGAGTGGAACTTAATGATATTTATGACCCAGAGGAGTCTACAGACTAACAGAAGGCCTCCCTCCCCTGAAACAGGAGAATGCACACTGGAAACTACTTCAGTATTTTTTTCGTGTCAGGAGTGACTTGAGAAACTGCAAGTCACTTCTGGTGTGAGATAATTGTTGGTCTGCAAGGATGTTGCCCAGGAGATGCCCAGATGTTTTATCATCCTGTGGGATGCTTCTCTTAAGTCCCTGCTTGGGAAGCTGGAGCTGACAGATGGCAGCTCAACCTGCTCCCCAGATTCAAACCGTCGACATTTAGATTAGCAGTCCTGCCAACACAAGGGTTTACTCCATTGTGCCACAGTGAGCTCCCAGCTACAAAGAGAGAAGAGAGCTGTTTCTTGTTTCTCATAACAGTTCAGAAAGGAATCCTTGTATAGGAACAATATGTTTTAGAATTAGATGGCCGCATAAATAGGCATTTTAAAGTTTATTATCTTACAAATCAATTCAAGCTGTACCCTTTCAAGTTTAGTAGTATGAGCTTTAAGCCTTTCGATGTTTTGTTTTAGACCACATATTGGTGAATAATTTAAGAATTTAGAACCAATCCATGTCTTGGATAGAGGAAGTACAAAGTAATCTGGCTTTGCTTAATTTAATTATAATGTGAAACAAGAGAGAAAGTACTCCATCAACTACAGCAAAAATAGTGACAATGAAAAATGAATAATTATATTCCAGTATTTAATAGCACTGTTTTTTTTCAATATACAAAGTTTTCACAGAAAGGAGGCCTCATTGTCAATACAACTACCATTAGTGGAAACTTCTCCTATGGATAACTACAGAATCTGTTCCAACCATAGATTTCCTTTTCATTTGTTTCTAACTGAAATTAATTCAGTTCTAATTAGCCTCGTTGACTTCCAAGAAATGACTTCCCTATGACTTTCCATAACAGTAGCAGCTTACAGGAGAAGAGCCAGGCTGTAAACCAACATGTAGTCTGTTTATAGAGCTGTATATATATAAGTAGACATCTGTATGACTGTAGTGTAAGATCTATGAGGTGCTATCCCCAAAACGGTGCAGCAGCAACAACTTGCTGTGATGTGCTCATAACTGCCCTTACAAATTCTGTGCTGCATCTTATAGGCTTTATATTCCATTATACAAGCCTTATTGATGAACCCAATGATTTTCTCTACATTCAAATCAGTGTATGAATCTTTCAAACTCCACTGGACATCATTTGAGGTCCTTTGAAAGCCCAACTAGATGTTCTAGGAGTTACAGATGGGAGTTGGTGAAAAGAAAAAGGAAGTATCACAGAGTCAGAAAACAGGACATTTAAGGGAGGGCAGCTGCCACAGAGCTTGAATGCATTTCTTTAGGAACCATAGATCTCATAAAGCTCCCAGCCAATTTTAAACTGAAACCAGTTTAAAAGATAAAACTCAGGGTGCATGTGTGCTGTAAAAATTAATGCAGTTTGACATCACTTTTAATTGTCATGGCTCAATGCCACAGGATCTTAGTAATTGTAGTTTGATGAGGCATCAGTATTTTGGCAGAGAAGGCTAAGCACCTTGTAAAACTACAACTCCCATGATTTCACAGCATTGAGCCATCACAATTGAAGTGGTGTAAAAGTGTGTTAAATAATAATTATATACAGTGTACATATATCCTAACTCTGTGCTTATTATTTTCATTTTCAAACACGAAATGGAGCCTTGCTATTTCAGATATTTTCTCATCATCTCTCTTAACTCAAAATTGTCTTCAACAGCAGCAAAGTAATTTTTTGAAAAATTCAGTGATAGAGCTCTGCCATAAAAACTATTTTGCATTTGAATAATTACATAAGCAAAAGGCAAAGTACATTCAAGATCTTGTTATATGAACCATTTCAGAATGGCCAAGTATTTTAGCAAATAACAACAAAATCTCATACAAGCACATCGGACATCTATAAACTATGCATTTAAAAAGTTTTTGGCAGTGCATCTCTGCAAGCAAGTTCTTTAAACAGAACAGAACAATTTTAAACTTTAAATTTTAAAAATATTACATTGGTCTAAAATAGCCCACCGATGCTTATGCAAACTTTCTGTATTACTACAAAAATAAATGCACAAAAGAGCTACAAAAACTGTATTCCTGAAGGATGCCTGCTGGTCAAGGCTAGGTCCCTCCTGACAATCAAGGCTGTGTCTTGGTGCACACAACACACAACCAAGCAAAACACAGTTAGAAGGAGTCAAAAGACATCATGTTGCTGGGATGCTGCCACAGGCTCAGATGACAATGATATACTACAAGAAGTATTTAGCTTTCTCTTCTTTCTTTTCAACATTCTGGGATTTCGAAATGGCCTTCCAAAGATAAAGGCTTAAGTATGAAATCACAGCTGGTTGGTTTATCATCTCTCTGCTCGGCAGTATGTCTGGTGCAACTCTGACAAAGACCACAGTATCCCTTTCATGAAGGTGAGAATTCTGGATTTCTCGTAAGAGCCACCAATAATTCAGAACCAAGATGTTTCCTTACTTTTGTCCTGATGTTGGATGCCTGTTTGGAAAAGAAGACACAAGAAAAATTATAATGACTACAATGAAAAAAACCCACACACAACTGTATATGCCCGGAATACTGTGTATATTTTTGGGCAACACCTTTTTAAAATTATAGATTTTGCCAACATAATAGGAAGCACAAATCAATACAAGATAAAGATGGAAAGTTTATCCAACATAATAAAATAATATTAAAAAGAAGAGAAAGTACTTCTCTCCTGAAAATCCAATGACCACAATCACAAACAATTAAACAGATTAAAACCTAAAGAGATGGGTTGACATGCTGGCGAGATTGGTCGGTTGAGTTTCTGCTCTCAAGAGCAAGTCATTTAGTATTCTCCTGTTTATTTTTTAAGGATTAAAGGAGGGTCGCTCCAGCTAGATAAATGGCAGAAGGGTGAGGTGCAAACCTCCTTAGTTAATGGTAGCAGCACAGGAGAAGCTGAGAGACCCATAAAGCCCCCATCAGTGGGGCTAGCGCTGAGGAAGCAGCTCCAAGAGTGGTGAGGCTGAGATGGGGATAGAAAACAGCACATACAAATGCAACATGGCCGTAAGAGGACTAAAATTGCTGACCACTCCTTGTCCTTCTTCCATCACCCTTGAAGACCCATCCCTTTTCTGGGGTTAAAGAGTAAAGAGGGACAGAAAGCAGCACAGCCTTAAAGAACAGAAAGAAATGTTATGTGTTTTATGGTGTTTTACTGTATCTGTATATTCCACTGCTTATAAGCCACTCCAAGTCCCTGTTGGGAAATGGTGGTAGGATATAAATAAAGCTATTATTATCTCAAAGTGATTTTTTTCATTGAAATGCATTGAAATGCTATTAATCTATTCCCCCAAACTAGATCTTTGTGTATAACTAAAACTGCGTAACACAAATATGCATAATACATGGGGGAACTGTATATGTAAAAAATAAAGTCTGAAACATTACATCTCTCTATACAACACTGTCAATTAAATGCTCTCTGACAGCCCCTCAAGGATAGTGTTCACCCTATTTCAAAATGACTTACATATTTTGAGGCAAAATTGCACTATGTGGAAAAGAAATATACTACGGTACCACTTGTGCAACTGGAAAGAAGCAAAAGAAGTATGTTACTAGTGCTTTCATCTACTGTGTGTAATCTTGAATTCAGGCTTCGTGTCTGAACACCTAGAAATACATCATACAAGCTCTTTCCCTGACCTAATCCAATGTGAACAAAAAAAATCCCCATTTCATCCTTTCTAATTTTAAAAGCAAGTGTTTCATGATTTCCTTTTTCTTTCTTTCTTGTTTTGCACTTGAATAAAACAAAATACTGGAACACTATAGAAGATGGACATTCTCAAAGTCCATTATTTTCCCACCAACAAGAAAAGAATGAAAATGGAAATTGCAAGACACACAAGCATATAATTAGCCATCATGAAATACAACAGATAAATGAACCACAACTTTCAGCATCCAATGTGTGCATTGTAGCCTTCAACCACCTTTAAACTGGATTATTATATAGAAATGGATGAATGTTTTCAGATTCACCAAACCAGTAGCGTATATTGCTAAATTTATTTATTTATTTATTTATTTACAATATTTCTATACCACTTTTCTCACCCCGAGGGGGACTCAAAGCAGTTTACACATAAGTAATGGCAAAATTCAATGCCAGTACAAACAATTACAATTATACACTACAATTAAACATAAATCAAATTAAAACCATACATCCATAAGCAATAAAACAATAATTAAAACAATAAAACAGTCTCATTTGTCAAATCGCCGTTCCAGTCATTGTCTTCCTGAAATGCTGCATACATTTACTTCTACTGCCCGAAGATATGTAAAGATACATAGACAACTGATCAACTATAAATTTATAATGAAATGTTGTCTCTTACAACTCTATGATTCTATGAAATGCTACTCGCACTATTTTCTGTGAAGTCGTACTCTAAATTTCACTGTACTCCAGTTTCTTTTACTCTAATTTTGCAACTAAGCAAGCCTGATTTTCTTTTTAAAATATTAGGGCTGTGAAAAATGTTGATTGTGTGTCATAAGTTGGATTTAATTCATTAGATCCATACATGCAATGCAATATTTCGATGTGCGAGTGTTGCCCATGTCAAGAAATTAAGAATCAAAACTTTCACCTGGTATTTTTGCGTAGGTTACATAAAAATCATAACTCTGTGATGCAGTTTTAATTCACAGAGCAACCAAGCACTACCGAGAGACAAAGTCAAATATTTTGTCAGGCAATCAGGGCTGCGGGAGGGGGGGAGAGATAACAAGGCAGAGACAGGGCCATTGCTCTTCAAATTCCTGAGTGTCTGCGATTAGGCAGGGAAAGAGAAAAGAGTTCCACACTGGGTTCAGTTTAGCTTTGCAGGCAGTTAGGCACTATTGTTAGGCGACTGCAGTGCACCTGAGAGAGAGAAGCAGACTCGATTGACTTAGCTTTAGTTGAGATTCGAGTCCATGGTGGAGGAAGAGAAGGACAGAAGCTTTGAACATTGTAGGCAAATGCAACAACAATACAACAATACAATAAGCCTTTATTGGCATAACATGGCGGAGAGTATAAAACATAGTACACGTAATAAAAAAGGGCTTCTCGTTTGCTACACATTCAGTTTGCAGACTTCATTCAGGAATCTTGCCACTGAAAGGCAGCAGCTAAAGTCCTGGCAATTTAAAAGCAAAATCACTTTGTCAGAATCGCTGCGGTTCTTCAGTGAATCTATAGCTTGTGTTAGCAGGCTGGATCTTAGCTCCTGGTAGAGTGGACAGTGCAGGAGAATATGCGGTATGGAGTCTAGCTGACCTGTGCTGCAGAGGCAGACCCTCTTGTCGCTCGGGAGACCATTGAGTCTTCCTCTATGGAGCGGCGATGGCATGATGTTAAATCTAGCCAGCATGTAGGCTCTTCTGTAAGAGGGGTTGGTGAGCTCCGTGATGTAAAAGGCTGGATTTCCCTGTGTGTATGGGATTGCCAAGTTAATAGGCAAATGCATACACACACAGACCAAAGAACCTGCTTAAATTGAAGTATCATCCAGCTACTTTCAATTATTTGGGAACAATGAATTCTGCAAGATGTTCTCCATACTGTTGAATAGACAGTAGGATTGGCTAAACAACAAGATATCTTAAAATTCCTACCATATTGGATGCCTTCAACAAGAATAAGTTTCACAGAAAGACAAAATTTCCTGATAAATATACCTTGCCAAAAGGAAAATCCCATGGAGAAAAAAACAATTGCTCCTAGCTTACTGGGAACTGAGAACACGAAATTAAATTTATTATAATTTGCACAGCTGCAAACATTATTAATGACAATAAAAATTGTAAAGACTTTTAAAGGTTCCAGATATGCTATTTTTCTAAATTTCCTGGTATAGCAGGTGCATAGTGTAAAATAAGAGTATGGGAAGTAAGCCTGCTGGTATACATCAAATAGTACACAAATGAGATAGAGAAAGAGATCAGAAAAGGCACATAGACAGAATTTTCCAAGGGAAGTACTTTTTAATTTGTTAATTATATTTAATTTTGCCAATTATTTTTTTCTGAAAAAAATGTTTGTCCATTATATAGCTGTTAATCTTAATTTTGTTGTTATTCTCTGTGTCACATGCTGTGCTAGGCTTCTGATGAACAAATATTTTATCTTAAAGTAGATGCTACTCCAGTCATTCTGCCATTATTTGGCATCTCCTGAAATCTCCGTAGTTGTACTTTGTATTAATAGGTAACTGTAAACAAAATTTGTGTGTGAGGGTTTATCTTTTGTTAAAATAGTCTTTGCTTAAGATTGGAATGTGCTCCTATGCTCATCAGTCCATATTTATGTTTTGCTAAGATTGTACCACTTCTTCACACACAGCCGACTTTGGAGAAGAATCAGTAGCAACTTTTTTAATCCAGAAAAATATAGATGATATAGCCCAGGTGGTGCAGTGGGTTAAACTACTGAGCTGCTGAACTTGCTTACTGAAAGGTTGGCATTTCAAAACCACATAGTGGGCTGAGCTCCCACTATGAACCCCAACTTTTGCCAACCTAGTAGTTCGAAAAGATGCAAATGTGAGTAGATCAATAGGTACCACTTCAACGGGAAGGTAACGACACTCCATGCAGTTTTCTGGGTTTCAAAGAATCATCCTATCACTCTTCAGTTTTGGATACATCATAAACCATAATTCAAAAGCACAATACCTGTGTTTATCACATGATCTGTAAAATGCAAAACCAAGACCCAGAATATTCTGAATGATGTATCAACCAGCTATTCTATACAGGTGTCACTGTAACTGGGGTGTGGTAGCTGAGTTGCATATAAGTTTGTAATAACCTGATGAGGGTTTGATGAGGAATGGAGGTTGGTCTATTAAGATACTAGAGTTTGTACATATTGTGATAGTATTTGTACCATTACTGCAACTTAAGAAACAAGTTTGTCCCTGCATGTATAAGTATAAGTGGCTCCTCTTTATATTTATATGTATACATGTATGACTTCAATACCTGGGGAATATGGTAAGACACACACCATACATCATAGATAAATGACAAGCAATAAACTAAATAGTTAAAGAATAAATGCCTCTGAATACTAATTGTTGGGGAACAAATTTATACTCTGATTATAAACTTCAGAAATGCATCTGGGCAATGTTTCTGAAAAAGAGGCTGCTCAACTAGCTGGATCCTCTAATCATGCATCTGTTTTTTCATGCAGAGGATGATACACTTTGGAAATCTTGTTAAATCTAAGTCTGTAAAAGATCTATCTGGCAGCACTTTCTCCAGAACACCAATCATACCTTTTTACAGCAAGTGAAGCTATCACTTCCCTCTGATCAGATGCCCTTAAGACATGGTGCTCTATACCTTCCTATAACCTCAGTGGGAATGGCAATCAAACACATCTGGAGATTTCCAGATTGCAGGAGGCTACTATAAATCTGAGGAGCTCAATCCAGTATGTGCATCCAAGGTAGCAATAATCGACTGGATCAGAAATGGGCTACTTTCAGTTCTTTCAATGCTAAAGAAATGTTGCTCTGTCATTGACATTCATACCCTAGATAGGTATCATGGGAGTTATACTCTTTTAACAATATCTGGAGGGCCAGGCTTCCCTAGCTCTGTCTTAAAACAGGCAGATTATCTCAGTGGCAATCAGTTACATACATAAACAAGGTAGATACAAGATTATGTTTCAAGACATTGGTTCTAAACAAGGCCCTATTGTATCATATAGAATGAGAATTGGATACACCAGATGGAAAATGAAGTTGTGGAGTACTCATCATGCAAAAACAGACTTCTGTTTTTTACTGGCTAGACAGGCATTCTTTTTCATTTTGGTAAGACCATTTTTGTTGATTCAGATACACAAACGGAAAGTTGACAAAAAAAAATCAAAAACCAATTCTCTTGCCAAACACCAACTTGACCCTATCTCTAGTTCTGCTGACCAGGGGCAGGAAACATACTACTTTCTATGTAATCAAATGTATGTTTAGAATGCTGTTGACCTAATGGGGAATCTACAACATTGTCAAGATCAGATGCCAGTCTTCCTTAACATTACACATTACAATGTTTCTGTATACAAGCATAAGTGACTCACGGGAAGGAATGGAATAATTTTCTCATTTCAGCAGTTATCTCTCCATCTTAGAATTATTTAATATATTTGGAATACTTTATTTGAAAGCACACTTCTACAGAATTCTAGGATTGCTTGCTCTAAGGAGAATTGTGTATATAGCATTTGGATTGGATTTTTAAAAGCATTTTTGCTCCCTTGGGTCTACAATGATTGAATTCAGAACATCTTATTCCTGAAGAGGACTGATTAACAAACCAGATTCATTGCAGATGTTTGAAAGAACAAGCAAGAACCCTGTATTCCTCTGATTTCAGAGAAACCTACTTATAAGTCTGGAAACTGAAGTCTACAACATTTAAAAAATCCAATTCCAATGTACTCTATATAAGAAAAGATGTTTACGATTAGGGGTTTTTTTAAAATCATGAAAAGATAAAATGTTGAATCCTGGAGTTGCTCGTCTGTATTAAATAAGTTGTATGTACTGTATGTTTATTTCTATGACAATGAACACCTACATCTTTTAACTTCTCTTTGCAGATCTTAATATTTATGCAACTTCAGCCTCATCTAGCCATGCCAGGGATTCAGCTTTGCAAATCTGGTGACACAATTAGGGCATCTGCTGCATAAGTCCTCAGTTATAAGATGCTTAATGAAATAATTTAACCTACCACAAAATTCACATAGATAGATTTAATAAAGAAAGCCATGAACCTCAGTTTGCAAGGCCTTCACAGGGCTGTTTATAACTATGCCTCATGAAGATCTTTTGTGCATCAAAGCTATTTAACAACAACCCATCTACCCCAAAATCAGTGCTCACCTGTGTCAAACCCAAAACTTGGCACAATGTCAACTGTTCCATGAAAGGCTCCTGCCCATGCTGAGGTAGCACTGGTAACTGCAGAAGGGTCTGTCTTTGTTGTGTCACACTGTGGTGAAGGAATTCTGGCTGCACAAACTGATGGCATCAGCAAAGGTCTGTATCGTGGATCAAGGTGCGAAGCCGGGCGGTGATGGTGGTGATGCATATGTGGATGGTGGTGGTGCACGTACACATCGTGCATGTGTCCATAGGAAGGGCTCACCTGAGATGCTAATGGATAATGCCAAGATTCTGACATGCTAGGTGGAGGAGGTGGAGCAGTCTGATGCAGGGCATGTGATGGCCAGCCACTGGGGTCTGCTGTTGAGAAGGTGCCTGGTGCAGTAACTTGGAAATCGTGATGGACTCCACTTAAACATGGAGGAGTCTGATAAGAACTGGTCCAAAATGAAGCTGGAAAGCCACTCCTATGGCTTGCTATTGCTGAATTCTCTTTAAAAAGAAAAAAAACCAAGGTAAGGTTTGTTTCTGAAAATCCATGCTAAATAACAAACCGCATTGTTAGAATGATTAAAAGAGCATGGGCTTTATGACTGATCTTTGGCTAGACAGATTTTTGAGAGTGGTTTCATCAAGTGAAGAATGTGCAGTTTTACCTTTCAGAAAATACATTTGTTGCCTCAAAATTAAGACACCTGATCCTGATGGTTGTTTGCAAAGGGCTTTCCTTCCAATCCCCTTCAATTAATCTACTTGTTTATCTGTTTCAGTTTATATGCTTCTTTACCTCTTCTATCACCTGCCACCTCAACTTCAAATTGTGCCTGACATTTTCACATAACAGTATGGCTCTCATGCCTGTGGAGAAAACATTCCCAACTTTACCATGGAAATCCATGAAACCTATTGAAATGAATGGCTCCTACTGGGAGTTACCACAGAGCCAACCTGGAGGGCCTAGAAAATTCCGACATGCATCATCTCTAGAACTTTATTACATCCTTCCAAACAACTCTGTGCTAACTTTTAGAACATTCCTAAAGAGGAGATATCTATAGGAATTTGTTTGATGATATGGAAGGAATCATTCTGTATACCAATTGAGGAACAATTTTGAGTTAGGTGTTCTTGAAGATACATCAAAGGCAAGAATACTATCAATCAAATCTTTATTATAGTCCAAAGACCCAACTGGCTCAGTAGTAAAAGGTGCACAACTACTGCAAACAAATTACTAAACCTATAAATTGGCAAGGATAAATAGTGACCACACTAGAAACGAAGGAAAGGAGTGAGAGAGTCATACAGCTCACATAACATCTGGCCGTAAGCAGCATGTGTTAGGTTTTTTTCAAATTCCACAATATAGTATATATTTTAAATGTTCCATGGTATGTTTACAAACTTTTCAGTTCAAAATAGATATATTAGTTCAGGTTGCTTTAAAAGATTAAAGGCTATGCATGCTTGGGACCAGAAGTGTTTTGAATTTTATTTTCCAAAATACCTGTATTTTCATATGCAAATAGACCCAAGTCTAAACCCAAATACTTTATACACATCCAGACAGTAATTTTATACACAATATTTTCAATAATTTTATGCATGAAACAAACCTTGAGTACACTGAATTAAGACAAAGCAAAGATGTCCCTATCTCAGCCATCCATGGGGTCAATTTTGGGTTTGGAAGTATTTTGCATTTCAGAATTCCAGATAAGAGATGCTCAAACTGACTAGCATTTTCTAAATTTTGATTGGGGCCTTCAAACTGGATGGGTCAAGCATTGGTTACGCAACTCTTTGTACAGCTGTGTCCTCCAGGTAATAGAATGAGAATATCTACTTGAACGTGACCTTAGGCACAAATAAATACACATCTTACATAGCCACAGAAGCAACTGCACAAAATAAACTGTGATGTAAACTACACTGTTACTTCTAAACCTTACCTCGCCATAGCGGGTTTAGCCCTGTTTTACTTTTTGAAATGGTAGTCTCCTGACTGAAGCTGCTGGCTTGGTTTAAAGCTCTTGAGAAGTGTTCATCCACTTCTGATCCAATGTCTCCCTGAAAGTAAGTGAAAAGGACGCAGCGAGAGTTAATGTACTCCATCTCGGTAGGCTGATCTTTCTCTTCCTCCTCTTGCTTAGTGGGAAGTGTCACTTCCAGAGAGTCCTGCATCTTGTGGTATACAATTATTTTACTCTGTTATGAGAAAGAAAACAGAAAGACAAAAAAATAAGGCAATGAATTAATTGTGGATAACAGAAGCAAACATTCATTCCTCTTGTGTCTCAGGGCACCTGGGACAAATTACACTGGCTACAGGAACATCTAAGAGTGAACATATTAACATCTAAGAGTGAATATATGGTGTTATTGTTACTGTTTATTGCTTTGTTTATGAGTTTATTTATTGTCTGTATTGCTGTTGTTACTAATGTATTTGGGCTCGGCCTCTTGTAAGCCGCACCGAGTCCTTCGGGAGATGGTAGCAGGGTATAAATAAGGTATTATTATTATTATTATTATTATTATTATTATTATTATTATATTACACCCACACTAAAGTCACTTCACTGGCTGTCAAATAGTTTCCAGGCAAAGTACAAAGTATTGGTTTTTACCTTTAAAGCCCTATGTGGTTTGGGTCCAGGTTACCTACAGGATCGCCTTCTCCCATACAATCCACCCCGAACACTTAGGTCCTTTAGGGGGCAGGTACTCCAGCCTTCCAGAACCCAACTGGTGACCGTCACCCAGAGGTCCTTTTTATTGGCTGCCCCAAAACTGTGGAACAACCTTCCGGAAGAGATCTGACAGCTAAATGAGCTGTCAGAATTTAAAACACATTTATTATTTATTTTTTAATTATAATTTTTATTCTGAAGAAAAATCTTTAGTGATACAATAAAAGAGGGGGAACATTTCATGAGTATAGAAAAGTGGGAAATAAATGAGAAATAAAGAAATAAAACTAATTTCTAAAAGGAAAGGAAAGGAAAAAAGAAAAAAAAATCCTAAAATAGAGCAAGAGTGGAATTTGGTACTTCCTTTCTTTGCCTCAAAGAATTATGATCTAAGGTAAAGGTAAAAAGGAGTTATTTATATAGTGCTAGTCCTTTTAAAGTTTGAATTCAATCGTTCCATGTGTTTCATATAATAGCTTCTTCTACTATTATTTCCAGATTTTCATTTTTCAAAAAACATTTCAGGGGTGTCCAGTCAGTTTTCTTTTTGGGATTTGGGGAGTGACATGAGATTTGATATGTCAATATGTCCATATTCATTATATCTAATAATCTTAGTACTCATAGTGTTCTGGTTGGAGTGATTTCTTGTTTACATAATTTTGCATACGTCAGGCTTGCTGCTGTCATCATGTAAGTCAAAAGTTTGTTTTGGTTTTGATCTAAAACAAAGTCAAACATACCTAATAAAAAGTATTCTGGTTTGTACTTAAATCTTATTTTCAAAACTTGTTGTATTGTTTTATGAATATCCTTCCAGAATTTAAAACACATTTGAAGACCTGTCATGATTAAAACAGGCCTACCCAGCCAGTTTTAATCAGGAATTTTAAAATTGTGTCTTGTGTTTAACCCTTATTCTTGTTATTTTAGAATGTATTTTACAGAAATATATTTTAATACGTATATTTTATACAATGTTTTTAGATCCAGCCCACGGGACTTACGTTAAACACGTGTGTAGTAGAAGGATGTGTTTTTAGTGATGCAGTAACCTGCCTTGAGCCATGGGGAGAAGCAAGCAATAATAATAATAATAATAATAATAGTAATAATAATAATAATAAATATTATGAAGTCATGACAATTAAAGTGGTATGAAAGTTCATCAATTCTAACGTAGCTGCACCCCAAGGTAGTGTAGATTAATTGAAGAGTGAATCAACATTTATGTAACCGTGATTCAATGAGTCAAAGTCTTGTTAGCACTGTTGTTATGACTAAGGCCTTAAACCCCTGAGCAATATGTGTTATAAAATATTCCAGCTTTATAAAATATAACCCATATATCTTCAGGAGGGACAAACCCTACTGAAATAAACAACCTGCCAGTAGTCACCATAGAGTTTTGTTGTAGCTAACCGCTCTAACTCTAGCAGATCCATAGAATCACCTGGAAAACCTAGAAAATTCCTGAAACAGGTATATTTTGTTGGATGCAGGTAGATAAAACTGCTTGTACTGATCCTACGTGTATGGGTATTGTATTATGATTCTATTTCAGGCCCTCTTCAGTGTCTCACACCAGTTTTACTTTTTCTTGTAACACCCACACAAACATGAGTGTCAGAATGAAACTTTTTGTAAGACCTATTTCCCAACATAAAGGTACAGAACAAAAATTTGTGTCCTTCTCTCATTCGAGAAAACGTTGCATAAAAAAAACATTTCATTAATTTATATAAAAAATGTTACATACAAAAGGTGATTAACTGTGATGACTTTTATGTGAAAAAACAAACCCTTTTAGAATTCATAAGAAAAAAAAAGGGAAACGATTACAAAGCAATGTTGGGTGGAAGCCACTGCATGTCTCTTCTCTGTTTCCTCTCTCTCAAACCAATCCAAAATGTCAAAATAAATCAACATAAAGAACAATATTATGTGGAATGCATGTTTCAAACATTCCACTGTACCATTTTTTTTTCTGAGAGCCTGGGTTCCCCACCCTATAGCTGTGGGTGGGTACAGCTTTGTACACAACATGGGGGAAAGGGAATGGAAATTGTGCAGAACATCTAACAATATTAATTCCCCTTTGTCATAAAAATTAGTTTTCTTGTTGTACATAGTTATTGTATGGAGGAATTGTACAGTATTGCTTGGGAGATGTTTGCCCTTACATAACTGTCACAGATCAAGAATTTGAATTTGAATTTGTTTGAATTCTGAGTTTTTGTTGTTGTTCATTCGTTCAGTCGTCTCCGACTCTTCGTGACCTCATGGACCAGCCCACGCCAGAGCTCCCTGTCGGCCGTCACCACCCCCAGCTCCTTCAAGGTCATTCCAGTCACTTCAAGGATGCCATCCATCCATCTTGCCCTTGGTCGGCCCCTCTTCCTTTTTCCTTCCACTTTCCCCAGCATAATTGTCTTCTCTACGCTTTCCTGTCTTCTCATGATGTAGCCAAAGTACTTCATCTTTGTCTCTACTATCCTTTCCTCCAATGAGCAGTTGGGCTTTATTTCCTGAAGTGTGGACTGGTTGGATCTTCTTGCCTTCCAAGGCACTCTCAGAACTTTCCTCCAGCACCACAGTTCAAAAGCATCTATCTTCCTTCGCTCAGCCTTCCCTAAGGTCCAGCTCTCACATCCGTAGGTGACTATGGGGAATACCATTGCTTTTACTATGCGGATCTTTGTTGCCAGTGTGATGTCTCTACTCTTCACTATTTTATCGAGATTGGACATTGCTCTCCTCCCTGATTTCCTGGCTGCACTCTGCGTCTGCAGTAATCTTTGCACTTAGAAATACAAAGTCTGTCACTGCCTCCATGTTTTCTCCCTCTATTTCCCAGTTGTCAATCCTTCTTGTTGCCATAATCTTGGGTTTTTTATTCTGAGTACTACAATACAAAAACAAAAAGTCCAAATGCTGCACAGGCTGTAGCTGACTGTGGGAGAGACTGGACTCCTCTTAGATGTCTTCATGATTCTGGCCTCGATGAAAGCAAATCAAAGAATTGTTGGGAAGCCACACTCTTCAATTAGATTGCTTGGGATAACCAGCCTGATGCCATTCTTTTTCCCTGGATTGCAGGAATTTATCCAGTGACAGTGTGTGATGCATGCCAATAGTATCTTTTTATCTTCTTTTTTTTTATGTGAGCACCAAGGCTGGATTCAAACCATATAAACTGGTTTGGAGAAGGCTAGACTCCAACTAAGTTGCCCAAGACCACCAAAAGGACTCCCTGCCCAGCCCCATCCTTGTCGTAGAACAGGGATGTCAAACCTGTTTTCACCAAGGGTGACATCAGCCTTGCGGTTGCCTTCAAGGAGTCATTTGTGTTGCTCTGGCACTGAAAGCCTCGTGGTACACATAAAATGACATGGTGGGCGAGATGTGTGTAGTAGAAGGATAGCGAAAGGATAATGAAAAGCACAGTAAGATGGCTCTTGCACACAAAAAGAGAATGACTGTGCTGCAACCACTATCCTCTGGCACTTCCATGTTCAAAAGTAGAGATAAATGCATATGAAGGGATGGCTAGGCTGTATAGATACATTTTTAAGACAAGTCCAATCTCTACTACAATCAGCTACAGCCTGTACAGCACTTGGAAAACTTATTCTTGGAGATTGTAGCACTCATGATTCAAACACCAAGCTCTTGATGTGTGGCAATTATGCAAAGGCAAACGTCCTCTGAGTAACAGTGAATAATTCCTTCATACAATAAGCATATACAATAAGAAAACAAATGCCATACAACAAATGGGAATTAAAAGTCTTAGATGTTCTGTACAATTCACACTATGTTCTGCACATTCATGCTATTCATGCAGTCTGTAAAAGCATATTCTGAATGTATCTGAAGAAATCTGAACACTCCACTGCTTGTATCACATGATATTTTTCTTCCAACAACCTTGTGTCAAAACTACTTCAACTACATATAGAATGTGCATCTTTCTTCTTTCACAGGGTCATAAAAACAAGTGCCTCCTAGACAACTAAATAACCACAATCCTAGAAACTTGTATCTCATTTTAAAGGCTGCTGTTTTCAACATGTTTTAAACAACATTGAAAGGGTTTTTTAAAAGAAAGAAAACAAGGAAGGAAGGAAGAGGAAAACAGTGTTGTGGTCTTCATTGTCTTCCATTCGAATCTCCGTTCTTTAACATTCACTTTGTTCCACGCTAACACTTATGCTTTGTCATTTTAAACTTGTATTTTCATCTCAGCATTTTATAGTCCTTTCCCAATAGCAGGCAAATAAAATTCACAGGTGAAGGACAGGACTGGAGGCAACATTGAACCACATTACTGGAATCCAGATGCTGTTGCCTGGAAGTCTGTTAATATTTGTAGACAGGAGAGAGGAATTCAGGAAATTAAAACTTATATCCTGAGCTGGTGCTCTGTGCAGGAATGCTCTTTTCAGAGTTAGCATTTGCATTTCAGTCTTGTTTCTTTCTCATCCCAAGCATGATTGTGAAACATTATTTGGT